ATATCACCCTTGTTGTGTCAAGATCAAAAGTAATTATATCCAGATTGCAAGAATTTGCAGTCATCTGTTAAAAAAAATCTAATCTTATCTCAATTTATAAATGTATATATTTGCTAATGTAAAATTGTAGGACTCAGTGGTTATTAGTTGTTTCTGTGAACTCATGTAAAATTATATGCTATTAAAGGACCAAATGGGACGCGGGTGGCGCTGTGGGTTAAAGCCTCAGCGCCTAGGACTTGCCGATTGAAAGGTCGGCAGTTCGAATCCCCGCGGCGGGGTGCGCTCCCGTCGTTCGGTCCCAGCGCCTGCCAACCTAGCAGTTCGAAAGCACCCCCAGGTGCAAGTAGATAAATAGGGACCGCTTACCAGCGGGAAGGTAAACGGCGTTCCGTGTGCTGCGCTGGCTCGCCAGATGCAGCTTGTCACGCTGGCCACGTGACCCGGAAGTGTCTCCGGACAGCGCTGGCCCCCGGCCTCTTAAGTGAGATGGGCGCACAACCCTAGAGTCTGTCAAGACTGGCCCGTACGGGCAGGGGTACCTTTACCTTTAAAGTACCAAATAATTCCATTGTACACCTGACCTTACAGTGTTAATCAAGTTTCTTGCTCTATTCCATAGATTCATAGAATTTCCATGTATTCTGTAAAGACTCTCAGTGACAGCAATAATCAATATTCCATTCACATATATCTTAATACAGTGTAATAGCCATAATGGCAAGAAGTGCGGCATAACTCCTTGGAAGATTATATCTTTGAATTTTAAAATAACAGATATCCATTCTTTATCCTCATTTAAGTCCATAGAGCCAGCCACCTGACCTTCCTTTTTCAATGTGCATATAATTGTTTCCCTGACCACAAGAAAGATTAAGCTCAGGATAGGAGAACACAAAGTTGTATTAGGACCCAGAGCTTCATGCACCATTGGTTAAACATTTTATAGAACACGGTGTTAAATCTCTAACATTTTGTTGCATTAAGAAGGTAAGAATTTGAAGGTCTAGTTTTAACTAATTCACTTCAGTTAGAGGAACTGCTTGAGCCACATCTAAAGGATTGTTTTACTTGTGAAGAGTTTATGGTCTGCATATTACACCTGTGCACTAGTTGTGCTTCTGATTGATGCAGTTTTGATATTATTCATGGTGCATTTTGTTCTTTGCAAGGAATCATAGAATCAGGGCTGTTTTTCTAGAAAAAGAGGTGCTTCTCTTATGCCACCACCCTTCGTCGCACCAATTGCCACCTGCAGCCTCCATCGCACAAAGCACCATGTTTTATAGGATAAATAAGTATGCTTTTTGTTCTTCACTGCTGCAATGGCCCTTCAGCAACTGAATGCTCATTATCTTTTTTTCCTCCAATAATTGACTAATAAAGAATAGGAACTATAGTTTGACTTAATCCAGATCCATAAAAAACTTTAATAGTAATTGCAATGAAAACAACATGGCCTTTATGTATACTTCCTTTGATATATATATAATGCAGACATTGTTTGAACACTAGCCACCAAGTTGAATTGTTGCTTTCCCCACTTTGAGTAGTATCCAAATTCATAAAAGTGTATGGAAAAATACTGTTTTCTGTTATTGTTGTTTCTCTACCTCTAAAAAAACCTCAGCCAACATCAAGATTGGCAACTACATATAGGTTGCTAAGCAAGGTGTTGCTTTCTATTTCTTTTTCTGGCAGCAACAAATTTCTGAATATAAATATTCCCTTCTGTTGATTCACCAGCGCTGTCTACAAATCATGCCTCCCACCTAATGAAACTTGTACAATGTGACAGACATCTGAGCTAGACGAGAATCTGGTGGTGTGGTACTTTGAAACTCCAGCAGGGTCTGGAGCCTCTGATTGACTATGAAGACAGCAAGCCAGAGGGGGGTGGAGACAGCACTTTTTCTGTTTCTAAGAGAGTGTTCAGATAGGGAGATAGTTTGAGGAGAAGAGAGAGAGAGAGAGCGAGAGAGCTGGAGAGTTGGTTCTGATCTGTGTGTAACATCCACTCTGAGGAAAATGTCTATAGCTAGAGAAAGGAGTCTCTGAGCTTAGAAAGAAAGACAGTGTTTAGTGTCTTGTTGTATTTGTAATCTTTCTTATTTGTTCAACTTCTGCCTGAGTCTCCACGTATCAAAGTTTAACCTCACACAAAAAGATAACCTGTGGCGACTATAGGGTATATGGAGGGGGGTTTGCCTCATAGGATGTGGAGTCCTGCCCTAGTTCTCTTGTCCCTTTGATCTTGTCCCTACCCCTAGTAGCCAAAACTAGAGAGCCTAAAGTTTATGCACCCCACTTCCCTGAGTGGAAAGAAGATGAGGAGAAGAGCTACAGGGTTTAATTTCCCTTTGGATGAGACAGCATTGGGGACTTATTGCACCTTTTGTAATAATGTTAACAAATATCCAAAATGAGGGGGTGAGCAGGTAGGAATCTAGGGAGGTAGTGTTGTCCGCACCTGGGTCATGACACCCAGGTATCAGCAGCAGTTATCTGTAAAGGAAGTATTGGTTTGCCCCAAAGCATGCTCTTCAGTCACTGCTTCTTCTAAGCTAAAGGTCGGCAACCTAAGGCCCATGGGCTGGAAGCAGTCCATGAGGGTCGCTTAACCGGCCCATGGGGTGCCCCCGAACCAAGCTGTGCGCTGCACTAAACCAGCGCGGCATGGGGACTCTCTTCCGGGGCTCTGGAAATCGCTTCTGCGCATGGCATGCCCAGACACAAAAAATTGCTTCTGCGCAGGCGCAATTTTCGGCATCTGGGCATGCACAGAAGTGATTTCCGATGCTGCGGACATGCGCAGGATGTGATTTTTGGCGTTGTGCTGCTCCAGTCCGTCCCACGGAGGATGTCTGTGGGAGTGATCCGGCCCATGCCCAGTAAGCCTTGCTGATCCCTGTTCTAAGCAGTGTTTGAGAACTGTGATCAGATCTCCTGTATCTTTAGTTAGGCACCTCTGAGATTGGGATGTTAGGGAGGGCTTTGTTAAGCTTTTCCCCAGTGTAAATCTCATCATGCCCCTTAAGCTCCTAGTTTCTTGGTTAGGGAAAATCATTTTATCCATAAGGTTTCTTTAAAAAAGCAAATGGCACCTGAGTGGATGGGTATCTGCAAGAGTGGATAGATTTTAAAAGACCCACGAGCCCCAAGTATGATGGCCCCAATGTGAATTGGAGGGCCCCGTTTACTTTTTTTTTTAAAGAGCTAGGAGCTCTCAGGCTCCTAGGTTTCTCATTTAATTTGCTTTTCAGATTTTTCCATCTTGCTACTTAAAATGCAACTCCAAGCTCCTTTTCTTTGCCACACATACATACCACATTAATTTGTCTTGAGTCATACCTTGATTTGTATACATGCCCTAGCTAGTAGTAGCAGTATAGCAGTAGTAATACTACTGTATTACTACACCTTAACAGGTGTAGACTACTGTACTACTACACCTTATACAACTGGCAGAGTATTCGTCGGCCCTGTATCCTTGGTAAATACAACAAATTTCCACCATGTGGCATAGTTTTTTGTGGTTTTTCTGCAATACAGATTTTTGTTCCAATGGCATGAACAATCTTTGTCACTTTCTGGCTCACATCTTAGAAATTTTTTTGGCTTAGCATTAGCTGTGATCTTGATCTTACGTGTTGGAGAAACTTGGCTGTCATGAACCAAATGGCAACTTGTGGGTTCCTCACATCATGGGTGTAGCCAAGGGGGGCAGCTGACCCCCCCAGATCAAATAAAACAATAGAAATACTTAACTAACTCACCAATCATGTCAGTTCTGCCCCTCCCACAAAGTCCTTGCCCCCCACATACAAAGTCCTGCCGCACAATAAAAATCCTAACTATGCCCATGTCTCACATCACCATCATGTAAACAAATCTGCCCTAGGGGGGCATGGAAAATGAATTTATTATTATTATTAATTTATTTATTGAGTTTATATACCATCTTATACCTGGAGGTCTCAGGGTGGTTCACAGAATAAAATCAAAATATAAAACCACAAAATACATAATCAAAATAAAAACAACCCAATAACACCCTGCTCCCCCCAAAAACCCACATTTTGAAAGGGAATAGGATGTCAATCAAATCAACCAAAGGCCTGGTTAAAAAGGAACACCTAAAGGTGTATAATGAAGGTGCGGGGCGAACTTCTCTGGGAAGAGCATTCCACAGAAGGGGAGCCATAGCAGAGAAGGCCTGTTCTCATATTACCACCCTCTGGGCCTCTTGAGGAGGTAAACAAAGAAGGGCCTCACTCAGAAGATGATCTCAGGGTCCGGGTACGTTTATATGGAAAGAAGCAGTCCTTGAGGTGTTGCGATTCTGAGCCGTTAAAGGCTTTATAGGTCAAAATCAGCACTTTGAATAGGTTATTGCAATTTCTAGGAAGTAAGAAAAAGGATAACCTGCCTTCTCTCCATGTGAAACATTAATTTGTGGTTGAATTCTGATGTGGTCATAGAACATTCAGATATGTATCTTACATGGAAAGTTGTAATTTATGATATTTTAAAAGACTTCTGATTTGTGAATTCTGGGAATTAGCAGTATTGCTCTTGTTCCAAACATGTGGTTTCTGGGTGAAGTATTGCAGCCCAAGGGTGTCTTAAGTTTAAAAAGTAGAATTTGGACTGTGCATTTGTTTCCCAAAGGTTACAGTTTGTACATGCCTGTGTGTGTGTGTGTGTGTGTGTGTGTGTGTGTGTGTGTCTGTTTCCTTAACTATTCATACCAGAATGCTGTTTCACTGCTGGTTTAGCAAATTATTGATTAGAAAATAGTAAAAATGCAGGAACATGATAACAGTTTTTTTCAATATATTGTAATGATTATTATTCTTCCACTTCTACACAGAAATGTAGAAATGTTCCATTTTAGGAGCCAATAGATTCACATGCATCATGCAAACTGCAAACATTTTTAATCATGTATCTCACCATGTGTTAAATGTTAGCAAAGTGTTACTGTTTTTTTATCACAGAAGAGCTTTCTCATACATCTTTTTAACTATCAAGGTGAGGGGATGGCCAAAGATACTAGAGTCACTAAATTCGGCTTCGACTTTTGGCTGCACAAGACTATTGAATGGGGTCAGACAAGCACTTCAGAATCTCAGCAAGATGTCTGCCTTCACTTGCCTGAATTACAGGAATTTCTACTACAGATTTATGGAGCTTTGAAACATATGGTAAGTGAATTAACTGGAAGAATGAACTGTTTTGAAGACTGTTACAGAAACGTTCTGCACCCCACATTTTGACAAGACAGAAAGCTAACAGTAGCAGAGAGCCTTGTAGCATTGACCTAATGTATTGCTGGATCACAGAAGCAAATTGGTGAAACAGCCACAGGTAATGCAAACAGGAATGCGTTTCCTGTGTTCCTGATTTATTGTGAAAGGAGCTTTTTCTTTTTGATTGGTTATGTTCTCACATGAGATTTCCTACTCAACACAGTAACCTTTTTAAAAATACTTTAAAATAAACAAGTATTTGATTCTGGTTTTCAGGTCATAAATTGGATTATTTAAAGACTCTTAACATGCAATACTATAACTTATCTCTTAAATCTTAAGGAGTCTGCTGACACAGTAACCCTACTGATGTGGCATTCAAAGAAATTTCAGGCCACCATCGTTGGATCACAAGCAAATATTTCTTATTTCTAGTTGTGCCTGTGCAAAATTAGTATTGCCCTGGAATTCCTTACCATATTTTAGAAAACAATTTATTAGTCATTGGGGCATTTTGCTATATCTGTATGCATGAAAATGTATTTTACTGCTACAGCATTTAGCCTACATTACTAGTATAAAAGGTGAGAAAAATGTTTATAGATAATAATTGTCAAATATCTGATGGACTATAGAAAAATAAGCTATAGACCAGTGATGAATTACATTATGTGTTTGTGAAACTGATTCCCACCCCCTGAAATGCCTAATTATAATGAATGTCTTGTGAAGCTTGGCCACAGATTCATCTTATGTATTTGCCCAATATTCATTTATTTGTTTGTTGAATTTATATTCTACCTTTCTATAAAATCTTGCTCAAGCCTAGCTCCAATTATGGGATGAATCTGAAACATTTATTGAAGCAGCTTGTGACAATTTTCTTTTCTGCTACTTATATATTATCTTAGGTTAGTACCATTTTAAAAGCCTCTGTTTATTAGACAGTAAAACTACAAAAATGGAAAAAATGGACTGATTGCGTAAGAATGTTTATAAACTACACCATGCATTACTTTTATAGCAAAGCTGCTTTCCATTTGGTTAAACGTTGTTTAGGTTTTGTAGCTTTAGTGTCTGTTAAATTTCAGGTTATAACTGACTTAAGTATGATGTCATGTAGAATATAGCAAACAGTAACAGAAACTTCATGACTTCTTTGTACTGTAGTTTCTACTCAATCCTTAGTATAATCCATAGTATGATGTAAGAGGCATGACATTTTGAATAATTTGTTATTTTTATTTATTTGACTTAATCCATCCCATCTTGAAAGCTAGGGAAAATAGCAATATATCAAAACCATGTGTTAATTTTTAATTTCTTTTTCTTCATGTAACAACTATTAAAACCGCACGCTTTATAAGCATCATCCTAGCCACACACAGAAAGTGGGCTAAATAGAAAGGTCTTGCAATATTTATGAAAGAAGTTTGATCTATGATGAGGAATTATTGCCAGTTTTGGAAAGGAAGCCACTATACCCACCTCTTTTTGCCCTCAGGCAGGCCAGGTGCAACTCTCCAGCCATGTATTGCAGCCTTCAATGTGTTCTTGCACTTTCAGGCATACAGGAAGCTTTATTGCAGGAAGCTGGTGGACTATGTTGTATGTTGATACACCCAGAGGGTACTCTTGGTCAACTACAGATTATGTTTGAGTGTCATGAACATGTGATTATCTCACGTTACATGTGGATTTCATGCTTTCTAACCTTGAGTTGTATGAGGTTTTCGTGTCCTAAAACAGGGATAGGGATTCTGTGGCCCTTCAGATGTTGCTGGACCACAGCTTGCATAATCTGACCATTGACCATGTTAGTTGGGGCTGCTGGTAGGTGGACTTCAACCATATCTGGAAGGCCACTGAATCTACATCACTGTTCTCGTTACTGTCTCACATGTTTTTAACTGCATCTTGCAAGAAAGAATACTGAAGTGCGTAGTGTTTGGCCAGCAGTTTCTATGCAGGACAGGGGAGGGGCACATTGTCCACATGCTCTCCATCCCCCTCCCCCAGTGTATGGTGGGAGCTTAACCTATTTTGAATTTGCATTTGTGTCCCGCAAAGTTTCTCCATTATGATCAGTGCAATCTTAAAAAGTGCCATCTTTGTGAAAGCATCTGCAAAGTTCTTAGGGTGAGCTCAACATTGATGGAACACAAGGTTTGTCTTTGAAGAGGCTCTGCTCTACAGATACTTTCTCCAAAACCCTCTTATTTTGGGTCCCCAATACATTTTGACACATTTTTGGTTTACTATTCTCTTTAATTTCAGAACTGTACTAGTGCAATCCAAGAGTTCCCACTAATTGGTCAATTATTGGGAAGACTTTGTTGGAACCCCTTTGTCATTGGCTATGGTGAGTTTTTGAAATCAGCTTTGTGAAATAAAAATATTTGTTTTTTTATTTTGTTAGTTATTGGAATATTGACTATTGGACTCTAACTCCTATCAGCCCCAGCTTGTATTGGCAGTGGTCAGGGATGATGAGTGTAGTTATCAAACAACACTTGGAGGGCCACAGGTTCTCCATCCCTGCACTAAAATAATAATACCTTAAGTGATAAAATATTTTTTTAAGATCTTATTGTCCTCCTAGCCACTTGCAGTTAGAATGTCTTAACTCCTATTGAAACCACCGAGACTTGAATTGTATTTTCTGGAACACATGAAGCTATCTTTATGCTGGCCTGGTTTGCATGTCATACTGAACCATAGTTAAAATAGACTGTGGTTTAATGTGAACTAGCAAATGCAAAAGACTATTCTCATGTTCTCTAAAAGGGTCATTTATCACAGCTTTTGATACCAAGGATCTGTTGAAAATTGTCTAGAGCAGGATTTCCCAAACTTAGATCTCCAGCTGTTTTTGCACTACAACTCCCATCATCCCTAGCTAGCAGGACGAGTGTTCAAAGATGATGGGATTTGTAGTCCAAAACCAGCTGGATACCCAAGTTTAGGAAACCCTAGACTAGAGGATTTTGTTGTTCAGCTGTTACTAAATATGCAGGAATAAATATGATACATGTTTTCAAGAATAACTCTTTGACAGCACCATTAAAGATAGTAAAGCTAGTTTGGGGATCCATCATGTCGCTATCTTGTTACCGCATACATTACAGCATAAACATTTCCCCCCAAACACTATGACAACTACACAAGACCACCAGCTATGAAATTATGAACCCTTTCCCTCTTCACCAGTTACCTCTGTTGGAGCTGCTAATATGAGCTAAACCTAATATAAGATAATAGGTACCACCTGTGAACCAGTTTCAAAGCAATAAAATGATTTTGGGCAGAATTGTTGTATTTACTGCCATAATGTGGTCCAGCCATAATCTACCCCACCTCCTGTGCTTTAGGTCCCATTTAACTTTCTTCATCACTCACCCTTAATTAAGCTTCCTTAGTTAGCATATAAATACCTGAGAACTTGGTCTAAGTTACTTCATAGATTTGTGTGTACTGACAGTCCCAGAAGCATCTTACTGAATGGCTAGGTTTATGCCCAGAGTACTTCTGATTTTAGATAATTGAGCTGCAAATTGGCTATAAATTTGCTGGCTCTGATGATACGTTAGTTGTAGGTGATAGTAGCAAGACTATTGTTTCATCATTGCACAATCTAATGACTTGATTAATTTTAACATCCTTTACTATGCAACACATTAGCTAGTGGCTCTTTAGAAATTGCAAAGAGCAATGGAAATAGGGGGCCCTCTGGTTTTGTTCCCTCATTAAAATTATTTACCCCTATTAAATGCATTCATTCTAATTACGGCGATGAAGGCTTGGTGAAACTGAGCAATAATTTTAATAAATATCTATCCTATATTCATTTTTTTCTAACTTTTTTTCTAAGAAGGCCCATTACAACCTGCCGCAGTCCTTATAGGCACCAAGAGCCGAGATTGAAAGTTGTCTTTTAGTAGCCCTACTAAGATGTTTTGCATTTAGAAGCTGTCTGGCTGGAGTATAAAGTTATCTACATGGCAGAAAGCCAGCTGGGTCTGACTTGATATAGCTTGTAATAAAAAACATTATGCTGGACTGTTTATATGATGAGTTAATCATTCTCCCATAGTTCAGGGACTGTTGTTAGCATGGAGGTCCTCAATATATTAGGAATTCTGCCCCTTTCACTTCCAGTATGTCATTGAAAAGCATTGTTGAAAACAATATTAACCGGTTCCTACATTGTTTAAACCATTATTAAATGGGATTAATGGAATTACTTTGAAATAAAAAATTAAAATATATGTATATAAGGATAAAGACTGGCTTTAGACCTTGGGATTTTTTGTTTATTAACATGAACAAAAGATTGCTCTTGCTCTGCTTTGATTTTTTTTTATATTCTTTGGTTTGCTATCTGCAGACGAATGCCAGAAGATTCTAATGTGGTGCTTATGTTGTCTGTACAGTGGTGAACCACAGAACCCTGTGGAATTGAAGGCCAACAGCTGGATACAAGTAAGCAAATGAATCCTCTCCCTGACTGCTTTAAATTAACTTGATTATTTAAAGGTGCAGCATCTACAGCACAGAGACAGTATGTCATTTTTAGAAACCACTCTAGAGACATCCTACATTCACATTGTGTTGAAATATGTTCTACTTTAATTAAAATACAGTCTGTGCTGTCTCTCCTTTTGAATGTTAAGAAAGATGTGGTGTTTAAGTAATTTTAATAGCTCTTAATACAGTGGAGCTTAAACTGGCAACTTCAAGTGAAGACCAAAGTCTACAAATCAGTAAGCAAGAGAGCACTATAAAAGCAAACTTTCAATTAGGGGAAAATAATGTAATCTGGAGGAATGCCTTTGTTTGTTTTGAAAACAATTTATATATGCTCTATAATTTTGCTCTATTGTTTTTGTTTAATCTTTCTAGTCTTGGGAGAAACTAATTGTATCCAAGTTTTATTCAAAGACAGTGAAAGAAAATATTTGTGTGCATCTTAAATTTTTTTTTAGTTAAATGAATCCACAATTGCTTGAAGTCTTCAATGTAGGCCTTTAAGGTTTTTTAAAAATACTCATATTGCATATTTACTCCTTAACCTAGAAAAATACTTAGAATCATAGAATCATAGAGTTGGAATAGACCACAAGGGCCATCGAGTCCAACCCCCTGCCAAGCAGGAAACACCATCAGAGCACTCCTGACATATGGTTGTCAAGCCTCTGCTTAAAGACCTCCAAAGAAGGAGACTCCACCACACTCCTTGGCAGCAAATTCCACTGTCGAACAGCTCTTACTGTCAGGAAGTTCTTCCTAATGTTTAGGTGGAATCTTCTTTCTTGTAGTTTGGATCCATTGCTCCGTGTCCGCTTCTCTGGAGCAGCAGAAAACAGCCTTTCTCCCTCCTCTATGTGACATCCTTTTATATATTTGAACATGGCTATCATATCACCCCTTAACCTCCTCTTCTCCAGGCTAAACATGCCCAGCTCCCTTAGCCGTTCCTCATAAGGCATCATTTCCAGGCCTTTGACCATTTTGGTTGCCCTCCTCTGGACACGTTCCAGTTTGTCAGTGTCCTTCTTGAACTGTGGTGCCCAGAACTGGACACAGTACTCCAGGTGAGGTCTGACCAGAGCAGAATACAGTGGCACTATTACTTCCCTTGATCTAGATGCTATACTCCTATTGATGCAGCCCAGAATTGCATTGGCTTTTTTAGCTGCCGCGTCACACTGTTGGCTCATGTCAAGTTTGTGGTCAACCAAGACTCCTAGATCCTTTTCACATGTACTGCTCTCAAGCCAGGTGTCCCCCATCTTGTATTTGTGCCTCTCATTTTTTTTGCCCAAGTGCAATACTTTACATTTCTCCCTGTTAAAATTCATCTTGTTTGTTTTGGCCCAGTTCTCTAATCTGTCAAGGTCGTTTTGAAGTGTGATCCTGTCCTCTGGGGTGTTAGCCACCCCTCCCAGTTTCGTGTCATCTGCAAATTTGATCAGGATGCCCTTGAGTCCATCATCCAAGTCGTTGATAAAGATGTTGAATAAGACCGGGCCCAAGACAGAACCCTGTGGCACCCCACTAGTCACTCTTCTCCAGGATGAAGAGGAACCATTGATGAGCACCCTTTGGGTTCGGTCAGTCAGCCAGTTACAAATCCACTGAGTGGTAGCATAGTCAAGACCGCATTTTACCAGCTTCTTTACAAGAATATCATGGGGCACCTTGTCAAATGCCTTGCTGAAATCAAGGTAGACTACATCCACTGCGTTCCCTTCATCTACCAGGCTTGTAATTCTGTCAAAAAACGAGATCAGGTTAGTCTGACATGACTTATTTTTCAGAAATCCATGCTGACTATTGGTGATCACAGCATTCCTTTCTAGGTGCTCACAGACTGTTTGCTTAATGATCTGCTCCAGAATCTTCCCTGGTATTGATGTCAGACTGACTGGGCGGTAATTATTTGGGTCCTCTCTTTCCCCCTTTTTGAAAATAGGGACAACATTTGCCCTCCTCCAGTCTGCCGGGACTTCGCCTGTTCTCCAGGAATTCTCAAAGATGACTGCCAGTGGTTCTGAAATCACATCTGCCAGTTCTTTTAATACTCTTGGATGCAGTTCATCTGGCCCTGGAGACTTGAATACATCTAGACTAGCCAAGTATTCTTGTACTATCTCCTTAGTTATTCTGGGCTGTGTTTCCTCTGCTGAATCATTTGCTCCAAATTCTTCAGGTCGGGCATTGTTTTCTTTATCGGAGAAGACTGAGGCAAAGAAGGCATTGAGGAGTTCAGCCCTTTCTGTGTCCCCTGTTTGCATTTCACCATCTTCTCCTCTGAGTGACCCCACGGTTTCTTTGTTCTTCCTTTTGCTACGAACATACCCATAAAAGCCTTTTTTGTTGCTTTTAACCTCTCTAGCAAGCCTGAGTTCATTTTGTGCTTTAGCTTTTCTGACTTTGTGTCTACACGTGCTGGCCATTTGTTTGAATTCCTCTTTGGTGGTTTCCCCCCTTTTCCATTTTTTGTACACATCCTTTTTTAATCTTAACTCAGTTAAAAGTTCTTTAGATAGCCACCCTGGCTTCTTTAGGCACCTTCCATGTTTCCGTCTCATTGGTATTGCCTGAAGTTGTGCTTTTACTATCTCCCTCTTAACAAACTCCCAGCCATCTTGAACTCCCTTTCCTTTTAGTATTACTGTCCATGGGATCTCACCCAGCACTTCCCTAAGCTTTATGAAGTCGGCTTTCTTAAAGTCGAGAAATTGAGTCCTAGTATGCTTGGCTGCTCCTTTCTGCTGTATAGTAAACTTCAGAAGAGCATGATCACTCGCGCCTAATGATCCTTCCACTTCTACCCCACTAACCAGGTCATCAACATTGGTTAGGACCAGATCTAAAATGGCTGTTCCTCTTGTTGCTTCTCCCACTTTCTGGACAATGAAGTTGTCTGCAAGGGCAGTGAGGAATCTGTTTGACCTTATGCTCTTGGCTGAGTTTGACATCCAACAAATATCCGGGTAATTGAAGTCCCCCATTACTACTATCTCCCTTCCTTTTGCATGCTTGGCCATCTGTTCCAGGAAGGCATCATCTATGTCCTCCGTTTGGCTTGGGGATCTATAGTAAACTCCCACAATGAGGTCACTGTTATTCTTCTCTCCCTTAATTTTGACCCAAATGCTCTCACTTTGGCTTTGAGGTTCTAAATCTTGGATCTCTTCACAGGTATACACATCCCTGACATATAACGCCACTCCTCCTCCTTTCTTGTCTGGTCTGTTTCTTTGAAATAGATTCTATCCCTCCATTATTACATTCCAATCGTGGGATTTATCCCACCAGGTTTCAGTGATTCCTATTATGTCATATTTAGTTTGCTGTACCAGGAGCTCAAGCTCATCTTGTTTATTTCCCATGCTTTGCGCATTAGTGTACAGACATTGAAGTCCATTAATCATTCCCCCGTGTCTCTTAATTAAGGATTTTCTCCTCCCACCACTAGGTCTGCATGCTCTTTGCTCCATTCGGTCTATGACATTTGGATGATCATCTTCATCAATTGATAGACTCCTACCTTCAGGAGCACTGTCTCCCTCCCCCACATTAGTCAGTTTAAAGCCCTCCTGATGAGGTTTCTGAGATTTTTTGCAAAAACATTCCTCCCAACCGTTGTGAGGTGCAGCCCATCGCTTGCCAGAAGTCCATCTTCAAGAAACTGCATTCCGTGATCTAAGAATCCAAACCGTTCCTGTTTGCACCATTTGCGAAGCCAGTTGTTCACTTCCACTATTTTTCCCTCTCTCCCTGGGCCACGTCGTTCAACTGGGAGGACAGATGAGATGACAATTTGTGCATTTAATTGCTTCAATTTCCTGCCCAGAGCCTCGTAATCTCTTTTGATCTTCTGGAGGCTATTGCTTGCAGTGTCATTGGTTCCCACATGAACCAAGAGGAAGGGGTATTTGTCAGTGGGTTTTATGATTCCTTGCAGTCGTTCAGTTACATCTTGGATCTTAGCCCCGGGGAGACAGCACACTTCCCGAGACATCTTGTCAGGCCCACAGATCACTGCTTCTGTTCCCCTCAGTAGGGAATCCCCTATCACCACTACACGCCTCCTCTTAGGTCTGGTCGGGGTTCTTCTGTGAGCTGTCGGTTCCAAGGTCGCCTGGACATTCCCAGAGGACTGCCTTTGCTCCTCGTCTTCATATACCTGATCGACTGTAATGAGGGAGAGATCCTCAAATGGAGTCTGCTCTTCGTCTTCCATGCTAGGGGAAAGGACCTCAAAGCGATTGCGTATTTCTAAACAATCAGAGCGAACCCTGGGCCTCCTACTTCTTTGAGTCACGTTTCTCCATATATCTGGCTCCTGTGTTGGTGAACTAGCCACCTTCTCAGGGGAGTCCCCTGTCTCTTCCTTGGTGGAGACGGTGTGCTCTGTTGCTTCCAAGAAGAGTTCCAGCTCTCTAATTCTTTGGAGCGTAGCTACACGTTCCTCCAGTTGCTGGACTTTGTCTTTTAAGAGGGCAATCAACATGCAATTGCTGCAGGTAAAGCTGCCTGCAACCTTTGGCAAGATGGCAAACATTGCGCAGGAACCACAGGCGACTGCAGCTGTTCCCTCACCCTCCATCTTGGGAACGTGTCGTTGGGGGTGACTACAGTGGTCCTCTATCATAAAAAGTGTGGAGACAGGACAAATAAATCCCTCCCAAAAAACCTAGGTCTCCCCCAACATGCATTGTTCCATTTTCAGCCTGTTTTATGCAGAGGTTGAGCTGCATGATTCATAATTATATTTTCATGGAACAGACTCCTTTTTTTCCAGGAATATATTGTGAAAACATGAGTGGCACAATAACAATATTTTTCTTCAGTCACATATAAAATCCTTCTGACATACTGTCTCAGTTTAATAATTTTGGAGAACTGTTTGCTTCTTAACAGTGTCACAAAATAATACTTGCATGTGTATCTATGCATTAAGTCATTTAAAT